CCGGGAGGCGCGCGCGCCGGGGCTTTCCCGGAAGGGGCTCGGCCGGGCGGGCCTGGGCCTGGCCGCCTCCGGGCCGGGGTAACTGTGCCTTTCGCCCGCAGCTCCGGAGCGCCTGGCCCCGCTGTGCCGGACGCCATGAGTTGCTAAAAGTCAGCCTGCCCGAAAGGTGAGCCGGCCCTGCCTTCCCTGCCTGTGCCGGGGGGACGCGCGGCCCCTTCGCCCTCCCGCGCTGCCCTGGCCTCCGGGACCCGCGGGAACAGTGCCCACCCACTTTTCACAACGGTTTGGGAGTCAGGAGGAAAAGAAAGACGGGGGTTTAAGTCCTACCGCTTTTGGTATTGACCCCTGGACCTCTACACAGAGCTATGTCCTCCGCCCTCTTTGTATTTTTATTTTGAGAAGATTTTCATAAGTTGCCTAAACTGGGCTAGAACTTTGGGTCCTCCTGCCTCATCCTCCCAGAGTGCTGGGATTAACTCAGTTATCTTGAACAGGAATTGTGCCTCTGATGTCAGAGTGAGGCTTGTCACTCCCAGGGCAAGTGGTGGGCTACGTGCTGAGAGCTTCCCAGCTTTGGGTCAGAGGTGTCCAACATGGATTAAACGTTTGGGCTTTTCTGGAAGCCAGGGAGGAAAGGAGGTGGAAATAGGGCGCGGGAGTCCGACCTCCTGGGTTTTCATGGCCTGCGTTGTGGTTCAGGCGGCTCCTCCCTTTAGCACCTGTGTGTCCTCGGGTAAGTGTTGTAACTTCCAGACACGGCACTTGCTTCCTGGTCTGTAGCTACTTTGTTGGGTTGTTTGGGGGAGGAAGGTAGGAGACGTGTTTCCGTAGAATAAGGTCATTATCAAGAAGACAGGGATGCAGCCAAGGGGAGCCGCAGGCAGTAGGACGAGGAGTGCTGCAGGGAGAGCGCGAAGCCGCTGCACAGGCTGCAGAGGGTGAGGGGACTGGCGGGAGGTGCTTAAGTCTCTGACGCCAGAGGCTTAGAAATGTGCTCGGCCTTTTGGGAGACAGACGCTGCTCATTGTCTCCAAAGACAGTTTTTCGGCATAATATTTTCACTGGGAACAAGTAAGTGCAGAGAGCTAAGTTTTCCATAGGGCTGGAGCACTGCCTTTTCCGTTCCAACCTTTTAAATTGTAAATACTCCTTTTCTGAGTGACTGAAGTGGCGGTGCTCCCGGGCAGGCCCGTGTTTCCTCCCTGTGTGAACGGTGTTCTGTTCTGTGTGCTGCAGTCCTGCCTCCTCCCTGGGGTGCTCAGGTGAAGCCCTCCCGAAGAGGGTTAGGCCACCGGCTCCCACCCGGCCCTGTGTTAATTCTGGACCTGTCCTGTGCAGCTTCTCTGCCTCCCGGGAGTAACGTTACTTCCTCCTCTGTTGTGTTTCCACTGTCAGCAGCCTTTTCCTCTTCTTCTGTGTCTGCTCTGTGGGCTGGTACAACGAAGCGTGTTAGCATTGGTGGTTCAGGTCTGAGAGGCCCCAGCTGGGCTGCGCTCAGCTGTTCAAGCTGGTTCTGGATGAGTGAGCTTGTGGATAGCAAAGTCCCGGTGGGCCAGATGTGCAAAGGAGGTGCCTATGAAATGTTTTTCCTGTAGCACATTTTCTCCCTCATGCTTTTCCTTTTTTGTTGCAAGTGTTTGGACCCTGATTGCTTGTCTGTCCTCGGTCTGGCGGTGGTGTGTGAGACTTGGGGAGGCTGGGCTTGACAGTGTCTCGGCGGGGGAAGGAAGGGGCAATGAGGGGAAAGATAGACTGGTAGCCTCTGGTCTGTGTCAGGATGTGTGTGGGGGGACAGACTGCTCAGGACCAGGAATTTGTCCCTGGATGACTCATTCCTCTGCCTCTCTATGACTCAGTTTCCCCAGATGTGACCAGGGCTGCCAGCTGTCAGGCTGAGCTACTCCAAGAGCTTCAATAACTGTGATTAAGAAATAAAGAGGCTTGTGGCTTCAGTCATCTTTTGTGGCTCCCTTCTAGGTCACTACGTGTGTAAACACTTCTGGCCCTCCCCCTCCCGGGTCAGAGCACCCAAGACCGGGTGTGGTTGGGCCAGAACCCGCCGGCAAGCAGGTGAGCATGGTCAGAGCAGGCTACCAGCCTCCTCTCCCTTCTGTCTCCTTTGCAGCTGCCTTAGGGTGTGGTGTGGGGGCCCAGCGCCATGTCGGACCTGCTCCTGCTGGGCCTTATTGGGGGCCTGACTCTACTACTGTTGCTGACGCTGCTGGCCTTTGCCTGGTACTCAGGCCTGTTGACTGGGGTGGCAGTGAGTGCTGGCTCGCCCCTCATCCGCAACATCACTGTGGCCTACAAGTTCCATGTGGGGCCCTATAGCGACACTGGGCGGCTTTTCATGGAGAGCTGCTGCGTCTCCCCCAAGCTCCGCTCCATTGCTGTCTATTATGACAACCCTCACACGGTAAGGAGCCTCCGTGGAGTTCCGCCCCATGGATGGGCCTGGGCCAAGGCTTGGGGGTGGGACTCGGGGTGGGGAGATTTGGGGGACTGGGTGGGAAGGTCTTTGAGCTGGCCCGTAGACCACTTCCTCTCTGAGCTTGAACATCCGTATTTAGCCTGGATTCCTGCTTCAGGCATCTGTGAGCTGACTTCTGCTTGCCTAGGTCCGATTCTCCTTGCTCATGGCTACTTGTGCATTTCTTAGAGCAGTGGACTGTACCACTGTGAGTCCTTAGCTTCTGCCTGGACTTTGGTCCCTTTGCTCCTCTTGCTGTGCTTCCCTCTTCCGTCTCCACAGGCTGCCCAATTTGCAGTTTTGTCTTACTTCTGTGCTTTCCCTCCCTCAGCTTTCCTGCTGTGACAGTAAGCCCTTGCAGCCTCTTGGCATGGGGCATGGAATCCCATTTCTCCACAGTTCTGGTGCCTCCTGACCCAGTGATGTGACATTTCCTTAGACGTCAAGCTGCCTTTTTGGGAGAGGGCCAAGTGGAACTAGATGAGGTGCTCAGAATGTCCAGGATGCTGGAGTCAGAGACTAATCCAGCATCACAGGCACCCTGTGGGCGTCTGGCTGTCCTACAGCTGCAGTGAGTCAGGGCTTGCCAATGTAGGTCTCTTGCCATGCTATGGGGTGGTGCTGCCCACAAAGAGATGGGCTGACAGCCTGCCAAGGACTCTTCAGTCTCTTGTCAAACCATGGATTTGGAACCCCCAGTCTGAATTTCCTCGTCGGGAGAGTTCAAGCGGGCATTCCCTCGAGCCTGCTTGCTCTCTGCTGACCAGGCCTCACTGGGTGTACTCAGTTGAGACAGGAGTGTGCTGAGCTTCTCTGTCTGCCAGGTCCTCCTTTCAGCTGCGCTTTGGAGATGAGTCAGACCTGGTCCTGTCCTCAGGAAACTGTGGTGGCAGGTTAGCCTCACACAAGTAATTCTCTAACAAGGCACTGGGCGCAGTGCCTGCAGAAGTTTGAGCTGCGGGTTTAGGGAGGGGCCTCCAGTATGCTGAGGAGGCCTCAAGAGGAGCTGGGTTTCCGTGGGGCTTTCTGACAAAGAGTGGAATTGGAACTGCCGCAGAGGACCCCTTGGCTGAGGAAAGCAAGAGCAGAGGCCTGGAGACAGGGTGGTGAGGAAGCGCAGCCGGTGGACATGTGGTGGGTGGAGAAGGAGGTGGAACGCTTCTGTGGGCCAGGCGGTGGGAGGTACAGAGAGTTGGGAGGAAAGGAGTGGCACCATTTTCCAGCTTCGGTTTAGGAAGCCACCTGGAGGGCAAGGGGAGGCCGGAGGGAGGTGAGGTAGAGAGGCCTGGAAGAGACTGGGCTGGGTGACGGCTGATTGAGGAATGAGATGGGGAGGTTTATAGTCGCATGCTGGGAGGTGTCACAGACTAAATGTTGGGAGCATTAGGGACCAAATGGACAGGACAGGTGCGGGGCTGTGGAAAGCGTCTGGACTAGAGGCCTGGTCCTTGCTCTGTCAGGGTCTGCTGTGGAAGTTCTTGCCTCTCTTCTGCGCTTCCCCAGTCCCTTCCCCTCCTTCCACACCTGGCCGAGGTAGAACCCTTTGCAAGGCCCCTTGTGTTGGCCTCTTTTCTCCTCAGCATTTCTATGTGTTCTGGAAGCCTCTTGGGCTGGAGGTGTAATTCCAGGACGGGAAAGCCCATGGCAGCAAGTACTCTGGGCTCAATAGCACATAACTTTTCTCAGCCCCTATTCCTCATCCGTAGAGTGGTGGTAAAATGCCTGCTTCATAGTTAGACTGGCACGGATTCAATTAAGTGATAAGGTGAGGCATTCATTCCAGCATCTGGCCCTCAACATGTTTAACAACAGCTGAGAAAAGGGTGGAAAAAACACATTATTAGCATGTGCTAAGCACTGTGACCTGGGCTTAAACCCTGTTGACATTTGGCCAGTGTAGAAGATGAATGGACAGTTTAGTGATCCTGCCTTCCTCAGTCCTGTGTCATTCCAGAAGATGTCACATTCAGAGCTGGCTCACACTCTTGCACTGGGATGGCTCAGGGACACTTGGATCTCTGCCTGCTCTGGGAGCTAGGCAGTACATTTTCTTCCTGGTGGATTGTAAATGGGAAGTATGGACCTTCGGCTTCAGGTACTCATGACAATTACAGACCGTCTGATCCAGAAGGACCTGAGACCTCCTGGTCTGTACTCTGGTACTATAGGAGCAGGGGTGGAGGTGGGGTTGTGGGAGGATGAGGTGCAGCTAACAGGAGTGAGGTACTGATCTCATACTTCATTGTTTTCCTTCAGCAGATACTTGAGCACTGGATCTGTACTAGTCTGTGTGCTGAGTACCAGGGCAGTGTGGGGACCAGGGGGCCTGCCCTCAGGCGCTCTCAGGGGACACCTTCTCGTGGTCCTGGTGGGATTCATTCCTACCAGGAGGCTGAGAACCTAGGCTTGCTGCTCCCTAGGCTGCCTCTGTTGGCGGTGTCCAGTGTGGGGTCCCGTGTATCTGGTTCTTGGAGAAAGGGAAGTTCTAGGCTGACCTGTTGAGTATCCCACCTCTACTTCTCCATCTGTAGCCCAGCATAACGGGGTCAGAATGTGCTCCTGGGAATATGGGGAGGAAGTGAGACTGTTTTAGACTGTGAGTGGGGCAGTGAATAACCAGGTTAGAGGTGCTGCCTGGCTTTGAGGTGTGGATTGACAGCTTTCTAGGCCTTCCCTGGTTTAGGCCAGGGGAGGCTGGTTACTGAGAGAAGCCTGCGGAGCTTGTCTACTTCCTGTGGATCTAGGAGGGAGCACTGAGGCAGGAGGGTGACAGTTGCTGGAAACCCCTTCATGTCAGATGGCGCTTGAGCCTGGTGTCCTGGAGTCCTCCTGTATGGGGGGAGGCTGAAGTCTGGGCAGGTGGTTTCTGTGAAGCAGAAGGATGGATGTCCATTCCCTGGGCTGCCTGGAGGCCTTGGCCTGACTGAGGGTAGGGGGGAGGAAGGAGAGAGCGTGTTAGGAACTGAATAGGCCTTGGCAGTGGCTGACACGTGTCGCTCTAGTCCAGGGCCCAGCATTCAAGATACCTGAGGTGAGAGGCTGAGTTCCAGACACCAGGGTCTGTGATGGTGGTACCAGCCGCAGACCTGCTCATGTTCATATGTAAGTGGTCCGTGTTGCCCACACATGGCTGAGGGGTGGGTCCTGGCTGGAAAATCTGCTCTGCCCTCCGTTCCCTTTCTCAGATGAGTGCTTAGGTGTGGAAGTGGACTGTAGTCTCTCCTTCTGGGCCTGGGCCTGGGCCTGGAGCCTTTAGGGTTGGAGGGGAGCCCTTAGTGTTGGAGGGGAAGGAAAGCTGGGGCGGCCGTGTGTGCCTTATTGATCCTGGCCAGCTCTGGCCTGAGGACAAGAGCTAGTGGCTGGGCCGCTCTCAGTGCCCATGAGTCTGTCCTGTCTGTTGGTCAGCCTCGTCCTTCACCTCTTGGTCCACCCTCTGCTTCTGCTGTGTTTGTGGCTTAAGCAGCCTGCCTGCCTGCTCTGTGGGAGCCCAGCTGAAGCAAGAGGGTAGGGCAGCTGGTTGCATTGCCTAAGACTGGCCTGGATTTGCGCTTATCTACCCCCTAGCAGGAAGTGCTCGCACTCCCACGAATGGTGCTGGGGGACTGGCGCACACTAGGTTCTGCCTTTAGGAAGCTAGGCTGCCAGGGAAGCCGCTTCTCTTCATCATGAGAACTGAGGCCTGGGGCCACTAACTCTGTAGGACCTGAGGCTGAGTTAGGCCCGCCACCCTCCCTTCTCAGTGGGTGTAAATTTCCCCCAGACCCTCTCAGAGGCACTTGAGTCAGATAGAGTCAGGGAGGGGGTGGTGAACTCAAGGGCTAGGCACAGCTGTCCCTTACCCCAGGTACCTCCGTGCTGCCTAGGCCTTTGCTCCTCAGCAGGTTATCTGTGGGGCAGGTCTGAAAAGGTGAGCCCTTCTCTCACCACCAGAGCTGCCCTTGGAAAGAAGGTGAGGTAAGGGGAGGGGAGAAGGCTTTGGATTCAGCCTTCGGGTTTGAATTCAGGCCCCACTGCTTCCCTTCCTGTGACTCTGGGTGAGTCACTTGGCCTGTCTGTCTCTTCATCTGTTGAATGCGAATGAAAGAATCCCTTTACTGCCAGGTTTTTTGTTGTTGCTGTTGTTATTCCTTAGTTTTGTTTTTGGTGCTTGGGATTAAATCTAGGGTCTTGTGCACACCTAGTGTGACCTACCACTGAGCCACACGTCCAGCCTAGGGTTTTGGTTTTTGTGGGACTAAATGGTGAGGATAAAGCCCAACCTTTGACCCCTAATAGCTGCTTAGCCCTTGGGGCATCTCACCTTGCCTCTGAAATCCTTTACCACTGGCCTCTGTACTTTCAGAACCCTGCCTTCCTGCCGCAGGTTGCAGGGCTGTGTCGAGGGCATTGTGCAGGGAAAGGATACAGTATAACCTGTTTCTAGCCAAGGCCTAACTCTCAGACTCAAGTGGCTGTGGGTTGTGTGGTACAGCTCAGGAGCAGGTCTGCTTAGGTTTACACCCTGACTCTAGCACTGTCTTCCTGTGTTAGCTTTGCTGAGTGGCGTGGTTTCCTGGGCCTCGGGATCAGGGCCGATGGCACCTGCCGCACAGTGCTGTTTCGGTTTGATGGGAAGATGAGTAGAAGGCAGCCCGTGGTGCAGTGTGAGGCCTTGTCAGGTATTAGCGCTGCTAGGACTATGCTTCTGGAGGGTAGAAGCAGAGCGAGTTTCCTGGAGGAATTCCAGGTGGAAATTCTCAGAAAGCTGTGGCCCCCGCCCTCCAGGCTGGCATCCTGCTGCCTCCTCCCTTCCCTCCAGGCCTGCAGTATGGGTCCTGACCTGTGCCCTGGTTATCTGCATGAGCACTTGTCCAGACTCGCTCCTGCCCCAGTGTGCCTTTGAGCATCACCTGCTCATGAGGCCTGCGGGGCTGATCCGCAGCATCTGGGAGAGTGCGTGAGGCCCACTGTCCAGCCTCTGTAATGGGAACGCACCATGGCCTTGTTCCCCCGGGAGTGCAAGTGAAGGACGCTGCCTTTACTTTTCCACTTACTTTGTGTAGCTCTAGGTTGGGTTGGGTTGGCTGGCACGTAAGGGGCCAGAGCAGCCCTGTGACCCTGGGACTGGCAGATCTCCAGCAGCTCTCCATGTTGTTTGTGGGGTTGGCGATAGCTGTTTGTACCAAACCCAGTGGGTACCATTTCTTTTACCTCTGCCAGCCCAGGCTGGTCTCGAACTTGCAGTGATCCTCCTGCCTCAGCCTCCCTAGTGCTGGGATTACAGATGTGTGCCACCACGCCCAGCATTCATTTCTTTTATCTTGATCCTGGAAGATAGTAATCTTGTCGTGTTCCTAATATCAGTGAGGTCTTGGCCAGACAGGGCCCGCAGGTGATTCTCTTTGCTATGGCCAGACAGCACAGTATCGTCAGAACCCTGTGAGGTCTTTCTGGAAGGGCAGATGGAGCCAGCTCACACTGGAGATCTTTAGGTTCCAAGCAGACTGCCCTCTTGCCTTCTTCAGTGCTGGGACTCAAGGGGGCGTACAGCCCTGAGGAGATGCCCTGGACTCTGGCATGTTCCTCTCTCTTTCCTGGTTCTCATGCTTTGAGGGCAGATCCTGAGTTAGCTTTCTTTTAGCCAGAGTTCTTACCACTGCCCGTCTCCTCTGCGGTTTCTGGCTGGTACAGCTCTGGCGTGACTCTGATGCTGTGCACAGGTACCCAGATAATTGCTGATAGGGAGGACAGGGAGCAGGCAGGTGGGGAAAGCCCAGGCGTTTATCTCAGGGTTAGGCACAACTAGAAATGCTGCATTGAGCCAAAGTGTATAGTGTCTCTTAACCTCGGGACACCCACACCTTGTGGGCCCTTGACAGCCTTAGTAGGCCGTTCTTCCTGGAAGTAGACCTGGGCTTTCCTGGGAGACCAGGGAAGACTTTCCCTGATTCTCAGCCAGTCTTACCACTCCTTGGGTTGTCTAGGGCTTGTCTTATCTCCTAGCTGGTAACTGGTTCAGCTGCTTCCCACATCTAGCTTGGCATGGAGCTGCTTAGAACGGGGAGGCTGAGGCTTCTCTTAGGCTGCCCTCTAGCTGCTAGTCAGGGCAGGAGAAGGGGTAAGAAATGTCCTCCTTGTGGAATTGGGGGGTTGCTCAGGTGGAAAGGGAGTCTCTGCCCCCCACACGGCCAGGATCCCAGGAGCCTTGTTTCCTTATTGGCTGCCTCTCTCCCTTGTGGCGGGAGCTCTTTCTCCAGGTAAAAGGGAGGAGGAGCTGTGTACATTATATAGCATCAGTGAGCTCGGACTAAGAACATCCTCTGTGCACAGAATTCTGGACCTTTTTGCCTTGAGGCCTGGGGTGGTTGGGAGAGATAGGGAGGCCTCGTTACCATACAAAACAAAGACTGATCCCTTGGTGTGTATTTGGAATAAGGGATATTTAGAGGCATCTGGAGATAGCTTGGTGGAGAGCATCAAAAGGCTTTGAGGGGATGGGCTTAACAGTCTTACAGGATGGACAGGAGTTTCCTAGCCTCAGGGACTCTGCAGTAGGGTGAAGAGGACGTTTCAGGCAGCGGAAGTAGTTTATGCAAAGGCAGGAAACCTGGGAGTGTGGCATGTTTGGCTGCAAATAGTTCCATGTGGGTGTGTGCAGTGGTGTGGCAGGGGAGGAGGCTGGCACGGCGGCTGGGCCAAAGCTTGGATCTGTTCCTCCCTCTGCCACGTAGACACTCCTTGGGTGCTTCTCCATCCAATCTCTGGCCCCTACCAGGACTGGGGACATAGACAGGAGGTGCGTGTATGGATAGATCCGGGCAGTGTTGTGTGGGTTATGCTAACAGACTGCCCTGCGTGCTGGGCTGTGGAGTCTAGTTTTGTCTTAGAGTTGAATTGGGAGCCACTGAGTTTCTCAGCAGGGTGATCATGGTATTCTAATACTTTTTGTGGCCTGAAGACTGTTGAGCTGAAGTTTCATGAGGGCTCCTGCATTGATAGTAGGGAAAATCCTGGAACCGAGGCTTGATTCGAGTAACCTTCCTCCCTTTGCTCCCTCTAAGCTACATGATGTTTCTTTTGTTAGCACAAGTTGTGAGGGTCAGGGATGTGGAGGTAGGCTTTGTGATAGGCACAGACCCTTGTTGTATCGGGATGCCTCTGGAAACCTGCTCCAGATGAAGAGCAGAGTAGGGCAGCTGCACCATCTAGAGACAAGAGGTGGTACTGTAGCATTCTCCGGGGCGGCTGGGTGAAGCGACTGCTGCTGGTAACCGCAGACTTGATCTGGCAGGGGAGATTGCAGGCAGAGGAGAGACTGCTACCAAGCCACTCTGAAAGGCTCCCTGAGAGAGTGTTTGAACCTGAAGGATGGGTGGGGAGGAGCTGCATCTTCAGAGATGAGTATAGGTGGGTATTCCAGGCCATGGGACAGTTGTTAGTAGCTGTGTCTTAGGTACTAATAACCAATAACAGTCATAAAGCAGTTGGTGAGTGTGTGGCCCAAGCTAAACCCTTGCGAAATAGCTCTTAATATGGTAGGGCTATAAGTAGCTGTCAGGGAATTGAGGCTCTAAGAAGCCAAGGTACTTCGTGACAATCAAAGACTCAAGAGTTACACCCCACCTGGCCCCTCTCCAGCTGTGGATATAACCACTGCGTTTATGTACTACCTGCTACTGAAGCTCCAAGCCAGGTTTGTTGTCACTGGATTCAAGGGGACTGCAGGGGGACCAGAGCCAGAGAGGGTGAGGACGTAGGGTAGATGCACGTGTCCTAGTAGAGTGATTCTAAGGCAGGCTGGGTTGGCTAGAGTAAAGGAGGTAATGAAGACTGTGAATGTCCCAGGGAATCGGTCTCCCAGGTCCCAGGAAAGCGCTAGACTGCGAGAGCAGAGGCAATCAGTAGTAATGGCTTCATTGTGCTGAGAAGGTGAACCTCCTTCAGGGAGGGAACTAAATACAGAGGGAGTGGCTTGTTCTAATTTAGGGGTAAGCAGGTCCTGGATAGGGAGAGGAGAGCTTTGGGGTGAGCAGAACTTAAACTTGAGACCCCAAGATCTGTGTGTCCTGGATTCAGGGATATCGACCCCTGGGAATCCAGCCCAGGAGCTGTAACTTACTTGGCAGGAAAACGGACAAGGGAAGTAGGTAGCTGGCGGTGAGACAAAGTGCAGCTTCTTGATGCCAGGGAAAGTCTGGCTGCTTAGGCCTTGGGTCAGTCCTAGATAGAGGTGCAGGCTCACAGAAGAGCTTATCCAGCTGGGGCTGCAGGCAGCGCGCGCGCGCGCACGCGCACACACACACACGAGCATGCACATGGAGATTTCCCAGGATGTGACCAGGAATGAAGAACTGTGGGCTGTTTTCTTGTCCACGTTCCTCAGTTCTGCTCCCTTAGCTGCCGTAATTTCTCTGCCAGCGAAGCTTGTTTCTCCAGGATCTGGGAGGACAATGACCTCGTTGGGCTGTACTAGATCCAGACATCAGGGTCCTCCTGGAGACCCTCAGGCAATGGGAGGGCCCCTCAGTGATGCAGTTGATGGTTTGTGTGGAGGTTATGGTGCAGAAGTCCTCTCCATGCTTCCCTGTCCTGGGTTCCTAGAGGACAGAGGCCAGGTCTGACCCTTGTGGTGATGCCTGGGTCTGCAGAGTAGGGGTGGTGCATTTGCTGCAGGAATAAGTGAAGGGGTATGTGTGAGGTCTGCAGCAGGGTGCACAGGCAGGAGCAATGAAGGGGTTTGGGCAGGAAAATAACGAGCTCTGTGCTGGGATCTGGGGCTTTGTGGTCTGGGGAGCAGGCGGTTCTCCCAGGCCTGAGCTGGCACAGACAGTAAGAAGTCTGAGCACCTTCCTCCTCGGCCCAGCACTGAACACAACTCTGCCTCTGCAGGTGCCCCCCGAGAAGTGCCGCTGTGCAGTGGGCAGTATCCTGAGTGAAGGGGAAGAGTCGCCTTCCCCTGAACTGATCCATCTCTACCAGAAATTCGGCTTCAAGATCTTTTCCTTCCCAGCACCCAGCCATGTGGTAACAGCCACCTTCCCTTACACCACTGCCCTGTCCATCTGGCTGGCTATCCGCCGGGTCCATCCTGCCCTGGACACCTACATCAAGGTGAGGCATGGGTCTGGTATGTATTTTGGGGGGTCAGCCGTGTCCCATGGTGAGGAATCAGGGGTAGCTGTCCAGGATGGAAGAAAGAGGCAGTTTGATGCGGTGGGAGCACCTGGGGGCTCTCCTGTAGCACATGCCTGGAGAGCTAGGAAGATGGGCAGAGGCCATAGGCATCTTTTTGACATGCCCAAGACCTCGTAGGAGCCGGTGTGTCTCCCCAGAGCTTGTTCAGAACCTGGTCTAATCTGTCTGGTTTGGGCAATATCCGTAGAGCTCATCCTGCACTCCATGCCCAGGTGGATGGACAGGCCCTCTGTCCTCGTCCTGCTAGAGGCCTACAGAGCACAACCTTGAGGCTCCCATTGGCTGGGCAGGCTGAGGTCCCATGTGTTGTCCTGGCACCGCCTCTGGATGGGTATAACCCTGCTCCCTGAGCCCAGGACTGGGGCACCAATGACAGGTCCTGTCTCCTCTTCCTGCTCTGGAAGGAAGTAATGCCAGCAGCCTAGCCTACCTAGGAGAAAGGGAGAACCGGGCACCAGGAGGTCTGACAGAGCCCCTAAAGACCTTGCCCTGCTGTATATATTTCTTCCTCTAAACATTTCATAAGCTTGGGTGCTAGGAAAACAGCCTTACTTTGGGCTTAGAAGTGATGTTTATTCATTAATTCATATTTATTATGTGTGTGCTGGGTGCCCTGCAGGACATGATAGGAAGTGTTGGTGTTTATTATGGTCAGGCAGTAAAGGTAAGTACTAAGTGTCAGACAAGAACAGAAAATGTATGTGCTAGAAAAGAAGTGTGAGAAAGTCAGGGGGCCGCTTAGGTAGAATGGTCAGGGACAGCCTCTCAACGGCAGTCACTTGAAGGCAGAATTCCAGAAGGATCTTTGGAGAGGATGTAAGAATGGTCTAGGCAGAGCAGGGCAAGACACACAAATTTGATCTAATGCAGTGGGGAATTACTGCAGTGTTTGATTAGAGCCATATCTTGGGACCAGCTAGCCCACCCCTGGGCCTGGATCATGGATCAGAGGATGGATGGGTGTACTTAGGGATCAGTCATGAATTTCACCATGAATTGTAGCAGCTTGGACTGAGCCAGTGGCCATAGAGGTGCAGACCAGCACAGAGATTTGTAGTCTCATTTTGGGGTAAAACTGATGGACTTGGGGTAGGCTGGCTGTTGGGGCAGGGGAAGTAGAGACATCATAGAGGTTTCTGCTTCCCTTTGGGTGGGTGGGTCAGTGTGGGTAAGTGAAGGAGGACCTGGATTTAGAGGAAGCAAGCTCTGTGGGCTGTCAGTGGAGCTACCTGAGAGACATCTAGATGGTGTGGACACAGCTGAATGACGGCAGTGTGCGGAAAGTCTAGAGATCAGGTAGTCCTTGGCTGGAGAATATGTTTTGGGATGTCAGCCTGATGATGGCATTTAATCTGGGAGTTGCCCCGTGCCTCCATCCTCTGGGCCCTAGACAGCTGGTGGCAGCAAGGGCTGTGCAGAACGTGAGGCCGGTGTGGCTAGGGCCAGGGTACAGGACAAGAGCCATCCAGAGTGGGAGCTCGGCAGACCTGGAGGAAGGATCCTTGTGACTTTGTCCTCCAGAACAGTTTTGGGAGAGGGACAGGAAGTGGGAGCTCAGACAGGTACTGGGAAAGGTGGTATAAGAGTCTGGGCTGGGGAATGAGTAAAGGAGGCCCTGGGTGGTCGTCGTGGTCGTTGTGGTCAGAGCCAGGATGGCCGAAGCGGGCTGGCAGACCTGGAAGTGGGAAGGCTGTCTTGGTGTGGTGGTGGTGGGGCGGAGGCAGGGGGAGGGTCAAGAGGAGTTTCTTCTGTGACCTGGAGGGTGCTGGGGAGGATGTGCTGGGTGCGGGCTGGTGGTAAGTGTGGGAACAGGAGATCTCAGTGCCCTAGGCCCACTCAGCGTGCCCTCTCAGGTGAGTCCTCCCCCATCTCCCTCGAGGTAGGGCAGGTCCGTGTTGTCTCGTCCCGTCTGTGCCTTCCTCAACCTCAAGGGCTAATCTGGAGGGGAGCACTCCCCCACGGAAAAGACTTCTGGGTTCCAGACCTTAGAACAGGGCGCATGGCATGTGGTGTGGTGGCGAAGGACTCAGCCACCAAAGCCTTTTCCTGGCTTGGGGTTTATTTTTAGACACCTTTGTCCAAATTTCCCGGCCCCTGACAGCTTCACAAGTTGCCTGGTTTTGACGTCACCTCTTTGATGAAAGCCCTTTCTCTTGCCTGCCCCTCCTGTGGGAGCCTGTCTGTGTTCTGGACTCGGCTCTCCAGCTGGGGGCTGGGGGCTGGGGTGAGGAAGCCATGGTATGGAGGAAAGCGAGGGGTTTCTCCTAGAGGTGTCTGGGAAGCATGCTTGTGGGAGTGTCGCCATGCGCAGGGGGAGAGGAGGAGACCAGGCTGCCCACAGGGGAGGCTCCGTCCAAGGTTCTCACCCTGTTCCTGTGGCAGGGGGCAGGGAATGCCTCTGCTTCTGGTTTAGAGGGACCTTGTTTCCTAGGGAGATTAGGAAGGAGCTGACTTGGTGTACTGATTATAGCTGGTGATCGACAGGTGGCCCTCTGCCTCTTCAGCCCAGGGGTCACTGGAAACAGGTTGGAGAGGTTGCCTCCCACCCTCCTTGCTGCTGCTCTATAGACAGAGAAAAGCAGCTACTAATGAGACTAGGCACTTCTGACTCTCAGCCCTGACAGCTGGCTGCCTTTACCCATGAGCATGGTGCATGTGTACACACGCACGCACGCACGCACGCACGCACTCTTTTCTCTCTGGCGCTGGGACTGCCGTGAAGGTTCTTCAGATGGAATGACAGCAGTCGTCAGCATTGTGTTTCAGAGCAGGTCAGGGAGGCCAGGAGCCCTGCTGCCAGAAAGGGAGGGACGGCTTGGCAGCCTCACCTGTGTCCCCAGAGGCTGCGGTGAGAGGCTGGGTGAGGTCTCAGAACTTTGGGTGGGGAAGGTGGAGAGCAGCTGCAGATGTGCCTGCATCCTGGGGCATGACTGGTCTCAGGAGACAGTGAGGGACCTGGGGGTCACTGCAAAGAGCCCAAAGAGATGCATTTGTCAGACCCCCTGGGGATTCTAGAAGGGATGGCTAGATCCCAGCTTTGTGATCTGTGTGACAGCTCTGGCTCTCTGGCCAGCTTTGCTCTGCTTGGCAGCTTGGAAAACTGAGCTGTAGGAGCTGGAACGGCCTTTTTCCACATAAACTACTAGAGAATCCCCTAGGCTGAGCACTCCAAAACAGCGTGTGAGGGATCTCTGGGTGCTGTGTGACCGTCACTGAATGTGGAAGATGCTCAAACTTGGTGAAGCTGCTCCACTGGCATCTAAGAAGGGATTATTCTGAGGTGCAGGGCATCTTCTAGTAGCTACAGGAGGGAACTGGGCTTTCTTGAAGTTGCCTGCAAAGGAGAGAGAGGGTCAAGATGCAAGTCCAGAGTAACGCTCAAAGGCCCCGAGCCTCACCTCAGGTTAGAAGCAATCTTTTTTCTTTTTTATTTTTTTGCAGTACTGGGCATTGAACCCAGGTCTTTCACACTGAGGTACATTACGTACCTGGTGTTTTTAAAAAATTTTTATTTTGTGACAGGGTCTTGCCAAGTTGCCCAGGCTGGGCTCAAACTTTTGATCTTCTCCCCTCTCAGCCTGCCAGAGTGCTGGGATTACAGGCAACTACCATCACACCTGGCGTAAAACCAGTTTTAATGAACGTCTAAGACAGCTTTGAGCATATGGAGTGGACCAGGACTGAATGATGGAAGACGGGACCCTGTGGCTGGGGTTGTACATAAAAGGTCGCTAGATCGGGACTGGGCTGGTGACTGTCCGTAGCAGTTTGTAGGGAACAGTGAGACTGTTAGACTGACTGCTCCCCTCTCCTAAGTTTGCTCCCCTCCCAGCAAGGTCCAAAATCCCCATAAACTCATTTTTCTGGGTCTCTGATTTCCAGGAGTTCTTAGGGGAGGGCCCTTATAAAATGCGTGGAGCATTTTCCATGTTTAGAGAGACAGGGCATTGCTTGATGGTGGCTGATTTTTTTTTTTTTTTTGTCTTTTTGAGACAGGGTCTTGCTGTGCAGTTCAGGTTGGCCTTGAGCACACTTTACAACCCAGGCTGGTCTGGAACTTGCAAAGATCCTCCTGCCTTGGCCTCCAAAGTGCTGGGATTACAGGGTGTGCCACCACGCCCAGCCTGATGGTGGCTGATTGATTGACTGGGGGAAGTTAGGCCCTGGAGGTCAGACTTGGCCCTTTTTCGGTCGATTTAGAGAAAAGGATTGCAAGAAGAATTTCCAAAGGGATATGGCCTGACTGTGAGGGGAAGTTTGTTGGCTGAATTTTGGGACTGCTGGGTTGACTGGGGTTGTCCTACGAGGGTCTTAAAGGGAAAAGGACCACAGTTCCGAGACTACTGTGGAATGGCAGCCTTAGCTGTATGTTGAGGGGTCCCGGAGCTGGCGTCAGGACCTGAGTGCAGACCCTTACCTGCTTCAGATTGCCACTGCACATCAGCAGCGTGCCTGTTCTGGGTTCCAGGGTTGCTGCGGCAACTGCGGTGTGAGTGGAGATGGGAGGCGTTGGGCCCACCCTCCTGCAGGTAGGGTAGGTGCATCCGGAGGAGGCAGTTCTTTCCTGGGAGCGTACTCACTGGGAGCTAGACTTGAAGGGGAGCCCTGGGTAGCTGCAGGTTGGAGTCTACCTAGGGTGGAGGTGTGGGGTAATAGCATGGTGATGCCGTGGGGCAGCTGTCTGGGAACTGGGGTTGGGGGTGTTGGTGCCTGTGGAAGTGAGTCGTCTCTGTAAGCTCTGTGGGCTGAGGGGAAACACCCAGTAGTCTGGTCAGAACCTGGGTTCTAGCTGGGCATGTTGGTGCATGCCTGCAACCCCACCAGTCTAGGGGTCTGAGGCAGAAGGATTATAAATTTAAATTCAGCCTGGGCAACTTAGTGAGACCTGTCTCAAAATAAAAAAGGGCTTGTGATAC